GAGAGAGAGAGAGAGACTAAAAAACCTGCCTATAAGCTAATTACTACAGCACTTTGCTTATGGCTCATCACCGGGCAAATTCTAATAGACAACCACAATTATCCAAACTTTTTTGAATTTTTATTTTTTTCTACCAATTGGTTTTACCTGGAAGTTGGGTTGTGTATACATCTAACCATCATGTACCCAAAAAAAAGAAAAAGAAAATAAAAAAGAAAGTGACTAAAATACCCCTGAAATAATTCATAGGGTTGTTTTGGTTTTTTCTTGTTTATTTTTATTTATTTTTAGTTGCGCTTCAGTAAGACCACCCTCTTGGAATTTGAGGTTAAACTGATTTGTAAAAAAATGGTTAATATTTAAGCACTATCGGACAACTGTGGCTGTTCGATGTAACTTTGATGGTAATGAGCCATGGGTGAAGTACCATAAAAACTCACGGGCATTTTAGTTTTCCTCGTATCTGTGTGTGAACGGGTGCATGCACGTCCATGCCTGCGTGTATGCATTTGTATGCATATGTTGCCAAATTTTCATGATAGTTTCTTTATCTTATTTGCGACCCTTTTAGGTGGTGATGATCTATAGAAAGTTCAAGGATTGTGAAAAGCAAATCCAGGAAACAAAAGGTGTGGTTTAAGAACTTTAACATCAAGCAAATTGTTTTTTTTAATAGTTAAAATTAATTTCAATAGTTTCCGCTGATGCCATGTTTTTAATTGCAGAACTGGCAAAAGAGGATGGAGACCAAGATATGGTAGAAATGATAACTTCTGAACTTGAAAGTTTATCTAGTCAACTCAGAGAGCTTGAGGCGCAGCTGAAGGTCATTCATAAAATTTTTTATTCATAAAATTTTTTATTCCATACTCCTGCAAATTAGGTTTTAATTTCTTATAGCTAACTTTGTCTAATATCTACTTAACTTCATTGAGCTCGAGATGCTGTAAATCTGGTAACGGGAACTTGTGCTTGTTCATCATTATTGGGTTGGAAGGGATGTAGAAGACATGTTTTAATCATTTGAAGCAAATAAAATTAGAATACCAATTGCAATTGGGAGATTAGTTTTCGTTTTGCCTGGTGTTTGAGCTATGTAGAATTTTGCTTCAATACTTGGTTGTTGTGTCCAAATGCAGGATCTTATTGAAACATTTGCTCATGTTCAAAACACAAGTCTTCAAACAAAGGGAGACCTGTTTGAAAGGATGTGGAATACATGTTAGAACATGCTTTCGATTGTTCATCATCATTGGGATGGGAGGGATGTAGAACACATGTTTTAGTCCTTTGAAGCAAAGAAAGTCAGGAAACCTATTGCAATTGGAATACAAGTTTTCTTCTGTGTGGTGTTTGAGAATTCAGCCATGTGGAATTGCCCTGGTCCTTGGCCATTGTGCTCAAATACAGTGTCTAGTTGAAGCAGTTGCTCATGTTTGAAATATAATTATTTAGTGTTTGCTGTTTCTTGTTTTTCAGTGGTTAGTTCCTCTATTATATCCCAGTGGGTAGTTTGGTGGGCAAGGATGCCTGCAGAGTTAGTTACTGTTATATTTGCAACATTCTTACTGTTGTTATTCTGCACTTACATCATTGTTATGCTTTTGACCTAATCATTTGTATGGTTATTTTTAACATGGATACTGATAGACACCAATTTTTTTTATTAAAAAAAAATCATTAAAAAAAAAAAAGGGATACTGATAGGAATGTCTGGATGCAACTACGTGTATGCAAACTTATATGAGTGATATGTTACTAGTAAAACAATCACTGATAGAATTATGGAAATGTTTCGTTGCATTAATCTTGAGACTCTTGAATTTTTTATACAATAGTCGTTGATCTGCTTAACTCATTCAAAGGCTCTTTATTGTATAGGTGCTATTGCTTCCCTCTGATCCTCTAGATGCCCGAAATATCTTGCTTGAAGGTAGATCTTAGTCCTGCTTTTATGACAGTGAAGTTGTGCTTCTTTGAAGCTTCATGATATAAAGTTGTGTGTTTATATTATGTTTGGAGTCTCCATCCCTATGTTAAAGAGTTCCTAAGAATGAACTTTTGTTTTGTCATCGGAGTACATTGCTGTAATTTTACGATGCTGGGTTGGTAATGAACTCTTAGCATTCGTTGTGAAATTATGTACGATCAGTAACGTGCGAGATGGGTTATACACTCTTGTGAAAACATTTTAAAATTCATTTGCAGAATTTTTGGTGTTTACATCAAAAGTTTCTATACATAGATAACAATGGTTATGTTTGATGGGAGATTTATTCATTAGATTGTTAACATACATCGATAACTATTTATGTTGTTGCTGTATATTGGACTTATTGTTTGGGACTATTGCAGGTTCTTTACATTGGGCATTCTGAGATGCACTCTTTTTAAGTTTGTCTTATGGCACATTAATGGCATAAGAGAAACTGCCATGTCAGCTTGAATAATTATAATATTTAGTTTTTAGGTTATTGATTCACACGTCTGCACACTCATGCATTCCCGGATGCACACACAAACACGAACATACAGGCATGTGTGCATTTCATGCAATGCCAGAATTCGTGCTTGTAATGTTGCCTTAAGACCTTGAGGTTTCTTTCTGTATCAAACAGTTATATTTCCTTTGTTAATTTCTTTGCATATCTCTTATGCAGTGAGGGCAGGGACTGGAGGTGACGAAGCAGGAATATGGGCTGGTGATCTTGTAGGTACATGCTGCTTTTTCCATCCTGATTCTTTGCTGTAATGTCTCTTGTAATCTTAATATATATCTCGATGCATATAGAAATGCTCCATCCTGATTCTTTGCTGTAATGTTTCTTGTAATCTTAATATATATCTCATACATATAGAAATGCACATGTCATAATTCTACATTTTCTGGTGTTTGGAAATGCCTGCTTGGTTTGTGCGGGGATGCATGCATGCCGTCATGTGGCAAAACACTTATTTTCATGTTTGATATCAAGAAAGACAAGCATATTCATGATGATATGCAGATTTGAGGAGATTTTTCGAGCATGTGTGTTGATACCAAGGTTTAAAAGCACCCAAAATATCAGAATCTTGCCCTTTGCGTATTATAATATATTATTAGGCAATATGTAGGTTAAAAAGGGTGAGATCTGGCCAAAAGCCCAGTATCTCAGGATATTGCCCATGGCCGATCACTGATGTAGCGCCTGATATATATTTTCCTATTGGCGAGGTTTTAAACATTGGCAGATGCAGAAGTTTATACGTAGGGTCCCTGCTCTTCACATATTCTCAGATTCGCATAAGTTATTGTCTTGAAAATTCATGGCTGGTTAAGGTTTGTTGAAATGGATTATGCAACTTTTGCTCCTTGAATAGAGTTCAGTTTTGGCAGATGAGAAAATGTTCATTTTACTTATATGTCCTATATGTGTCATCGGGCAATAAGTTGGGTCCTAGTCTTGGACTGCATAGTGAACTTGTATGAAGAGTTCTAGACGACTGGCTTCTGGGATCAAGAATATTAGCTCTCATAGCTTTTATAATTTTCTCCATTGTTTGGCTGGTGTAGTTCTATTTGCAGTTCTCTCTTACTCGCTTAGAGGCTATGCCCTTTGTACTGTAATCTTAAATAAGTTATTACTTGTTTTGGGATCAATCTGAACTGGTGCAGCAAAACCATGATATTAATTATTGAGCAAGTTTTTAAAGTCGTTTACAATTATACCTACCTGAGCTCAGCTACATTGTAAAATAAAGTGCCATTTTAAGATCAATATGAGAACACAAACGTCATAGCTTGAAATGTCTTTTGCCCTTAATGGAGTTATGATTAAGTAAATGGTCGATATTATTATGGATAAATGATAATCGTCCCAGGTAATGACTTTTCAGGTGCGCATGTACCAGAAGTATAGTGAACTCAATTCCTGGAAGTGCACTCCAGTTTCTAGCTCAGAGGTACTTTTAGTTTGTTTAGTACTACATCATAACATTCTTGAGATGATATGAACTACATCATGAAATTACCTTGTCCAGGCTGAAAAGGGAGGATACAAGACATTTGTGATGGAAATCAAGGGAAAACGTGTGTATAGTAAATTGAAGTATGAGTCTGGTGTTCACCGTGTTCAACGTGTTCCGCTCACAGAATCACAAGGTCGGGTGCATACATCAACAGCTACTGTTGCTATTATGCCAGAGGTATGAACTTCTATTTGTAACGACATTATGGGATCATGCTTTGTTTCTCTTTTGAAAAAAATAATGGGACTAACTAAAAAAAAGGAATAAAAATATAAAAAATTGATGGAGATGTATGAAGCAAAGTGGATAGGTTGGAAGCCTTGGGGAAATGTTTATGAAAGCTATAAAATTGGTACTTATTAAGAAACTGATTTGATACTCAAGGGAACTGTGAACATGCACTGCATTTCAGTAAAACTTAATGCATGATGATAACCAGTAAGAAACTTGAACTGAACTCTCTCTCTCTCTATGCACACACACGCATACGCAATGTGAACATGAACACTGCATGTTCAAGGGAACTGTGAACATATGTATATGTATGTATACATACACACATAGGAAAAAGATTACAAATGCTGGTTTGTGTTTACTGTAGGAGCTTCCCAATATAGATCTAAAGTTGGCGATCTAACATCCCATGTTGTGTGATGGTTTTTATTTTTATTTTTAATAAATCAGATTGACATGAAATTTTGGGGTTTACTTATTTTCAGCATGGCGCATCCAAATAAAATATTTAAAAGATATTTGAAACCTAAAAAATGACCTAATTACCCCCGAACTTCAAAATGGGTGGTTGTAAGAGTGTCAATGAATAGACATAAAGCTCCAAAAAAAAAATTCTCAGACTTTGTGATTCACCCGAAGCCAGGATACTCAAACTATAGAGCATTTTATAATTGTACTTAACAATTTCAGACACTTATATACCCTTGTTTTGTACATAGAGAATTTTTTTAGTAAGGGTATATTTTATCATTAAGAGTGTGACATCATCCACATGGGGTGTGACATCACCCATATGGAGTACATTACTAGCATTTAATGCTCCATTTAGGTGATGTCACACCCCTCCTAATAATTAAAAATGCCCTTATGCAAAAAATGCTCTATGTACAAAACAATGGTATGTAAGTGTCTAAAATTTGTTGAGTACAATTATGCTCAATAGTGCGAACACCCTAACATAACCTATCATTTTCTGTTGAGTACTATTATAAAATTTTAGACATTTACCCTAAGGTATAACCTATTGTTTTCTGTTGTGTCTGGCATTTGCATAGTCAACAAGCCACAGTTTATGAAATTAATGAAGTCTAATTAATCTTTTGGTTTGATTTGAACCAACATTATTATTATATAAGTGCTCAATGCTCCAGTTTTTGCTTAGAAGTTTCTTAGGAACATCTGTGGCGTTATCTTAGATTCGAACGGTCTCTGTTGAGTAATTATGAATCTTTTACAAGCAGTGAAATGTTTGAATAATGTCATAATTGAGTCAGCCTTTTACCAATTTATTGATATTCGTATCCTTTCATTGTTGTAATGTATTTAAGGCTGATGAAGTGGATGTCGTAATTGATCCGAAGGATATTGAACTTTCAACAGCAAGGTCTGGTGGCGCTGGAGGTATTGGCAGTGAAGCATTATATACTTTTTGTGTTATTCTACTGTTTGAATTAGCGGATTAATTATTGCATGTCAGGTTTTCAGTATATGCATTATTTATAAGATATGAATTCGGATATGATCCAACAGTCTCAAATGCTGTGGTACTTCCTCTTGTCATTTATGATTTAACTCTTGTTTTGTGAGCAAGGGAAAAGTTGATGACCGGTTTTTGTGGGGAATGAACATGAGGCTATCTTGTCTTTTGATTTAAATGGGCTCATTGCAGGTCAGAATGTCAATAAGGTGGAGACTGCCATTGACCTTTTCCATAAACCAACTGGAATTCGCATCTTTTGTACTGAAGAAAGGACTCAGTTTCAAAACAAGAATCGTGCTTTTCAGTTGCTCCGAGCAAAACTGTGAGTGTTTGTGGTTTTCAGAGGCTTCCCAACTTCTTTGAGTACTATGTGAAGATAAAGAATATTTTGGATTATTCACCAAACTATGCTTTTGGCCATATCATTATTAGATTCGTTGTTTAATTATTGTGTATTCCTGCACATGCATGTGTAATATCCATCCATCCAAATTTGTTTTTGGATTCAGGTATGAAATGAAAGTAAGAGAACAACAAGAGAAGATAAGGAACCAGCGGAAATCTCAGGTTTGCTTTAAAATCTAGTATAATTTGTATGGCCAATAAACTTGATCAGTGTGATAGCGAGGGGTTGAATTGTTTTCTCCATCTGTGTTTGTTATTCGAAACTCAAATTAAAGAATGCTTTAAAATCCTTATCAAGTGATGGCTTGCTGTCTTCTACCTTCACTTTTTTGCTTGGTTAAGCTTTAATTACTCTTGATTCCAGGAAGTTACAAAATTTGTACAAACTTTATTTTTTTTTGTATTGTTAATTGTTACGAAATGACAATGTTTTTATGCAAGTACTTAATCCACTTAAAGTGAAATAACCAAAGTACTTGTGCACAGGAATCATCATTGGGGGATGCATTGTTGAACAATGTCTTTTTTTTTGAAAGTTCAAACAGTGCAAGTACTTGATCTCCTTGAATATCCTTTAGGGTGTAGGCGCGCTGGTGTGCCCCTGCACTCACCATATGTTGTTAAACATCACTCATGCCCATGGCATGGGAAAGAAGGGTGCAAACAACTGGATATTTTGAGGAGTCACTTGAACATTTTCCCAATCTTGTGATTGTGTTGCCTAGTGGACCTACATCTGGAAAGCCAGCCCCATATATAAGTGTGCTATGCACATGTTTCTTCAATGTAGAAGTCATATGTTGCAAGGTGTAGTAGGGGTGCTAGTTTTTTAGGATACTAGGGGCAAATATATCATTATACCTCCTTTATCTCTCTCTCGATAATTTCGTGTAGATTCTCACTTTTTTATCTAGAATAAGAAAAGGCCGTAACCCGGTGCTGGTCCTGCCTACGCATGGTCCCGGGAGGGGTGGACTGGAAATGGTCCTAACCTTTGGCTTTTTTATGCACAAAATGGACGCTCTCAGGACTTGAACCCACGCTCTTGCGCTGGCGACCCGAGCCTTTTAGCTTCACACCAAGTGATGGCCCCTCTTTTTTTATCTAGAATACATGCCCTAAAAAGGGTTAACAGAAAATTGTCCTGATAAAAAGAAATTTAGGATAACCTACTTTTCCATTTCCCAGCGACTTTCTTCATGGAATTATAAACAAAGGATGAACCGGATACAACTGTGTCTTGTCGGATCATTCAAGATCACTGGTGAGGATTGCATGACAGCTGAGATATTTAGCAGTGCAGTTTCAGACCCTTTCGAGAGCCTTCTGTGCTGGATGTCTTCACCATGTCTAACTATCTGGAAAAACCAGTTAGTCCTTGGATATGATATGCCTATCGTTCTCTTCTGCAACCTCCATTTTCTTATGAAAGACACTGCCTCAACTCTTAATTTTTTCTCTTTTTAAAGTGAAAATTTGAATTACTTCAGATTCTTTATGTTTCTTGTGTCTCTTTTACATTGACTACCTCTACATGTATATATGCTGACTTTGCTGTAAGCTGTCGTTGGCGATATGCGTGCCATTTGTCATTTGTGGGTGCTAAATGATAAAGTATAAGATTTTTTTTTATTTGAAGTTTATGCTCTCTACGCGATGCTACCTATGCCTTAGCCTCTGTGAACTATGTGCCTTACATATGACTATGGAACGATGCACTCTTTATGGAATGCTTCCTCCGAAGTCTCGATACCAAAATATGGGTTTTGCATGATGGGCAGGTTGGTACAGGTGCCCGCTCAGAAAAGATCCGAACATACAACTACAAGGTTCTTTTTTCAAGCGGTGGTGTCGATAATAATGGTTTTGTGAGCAATCAGTGATGTATTTCTTGATTTTACATGCATATTGTTTTGACAGGACAACCGAGTCACTGATCACCGGCTGAAGATGAACTTTGAACTCACATCCTTCCTTTCAGGCGATATTGAAACCGCCGTTCAGGTTTTATTCTCATTACATAGCATATTTTTCATCCTCGTGTTTAGTTTTTTAGATAGGGATGCTTCTACCTTAGCAGGCATTTTGAAGATCGTTCTGCAGGACTATATATATCCATGACCACATACGAACCTTGCATAATATAAATACAACTGATTGGGGAAAAGTAGAATAATTTACCCCTCTCTCTCTCTCTCTCTCTCTTGCTCACTCTGTGTGTGTGCATGTGTGTGTGTGTGCATCTGTGTGTGTGTGTACATGTCTTT